GCGGCTTAATCGTTAATCCCGCGATCTATGTAGTTTATCGGTTTGAATTCCGCATCGTCGAAGGTTCTCCCTGCGTCTCTCACGATGATCGACGCAGATCCGACGTCACGATGGACACTTTCGATGAAAGAGGGGCGCCACGACGCCAAGGACCGGTAGCAGCAATATTGGCATGGAGCACTGCGATGTTATGGACGATTCATCATTATTATACATATACATATACCTTATATACACACACACACACACACACACACACATATATATATATATTGTATATATGTGTATATGTATGTATACGCGCAACTCGCAAAAAAACTCGCACGAGGAAAATTGTCTGTCCGTCTGTCTGTCTCCTTCCTTTCTCAACTGCAGTCGGTCTTTCTTTTCGTTTGGACACGTGGCTATTATTTCCGAAATATCCTTTCTCTACCTTTTCTCTTTTCCGTCCCCTACTTTCTCCTTTTTTTTTTTGTGTGTATACCAATCGGGATGAACACGACAGCTAATCGCGCACAATCTAAACGATCTAATTCGCGACGAACGCGAAGGGCGAGCGATGCTTTGTGAAATGGCGCTGTGGCGAGTTTCTCTCATACTCGCATCTCGGCGGGAATTCTTCAATCGTCGCTTCGTTGTGCCGCGACATTCCCTGACTCACGTATGTCACGGAAAGACACGATTGATTTTCACTTACATGTGAATAACTCCCTTCCACGTTAGCTTGCCCTCGGCTTATTGTACGTTCCCCGGTAATAAAGCCACGTGACTCGTTATGATTCGATTTTATTTATATATTCGGGAAATCGTGCGAGCGTCAGACTAGGCCTATTCTTTTTGGCTTAATGACAACACTGTTTGTTTCTCATTCTTTTCTCTCCACGTTGGAGAAAGAAAAATGACGAATGTGTAAAAAGTTCAGGTAGTAAGAACAAGCCATAGGTCTCTCTTATTCACTTTACATTTCCGTATCTCTCGACATTTAGCAAATATGAAAAAAAAATTTTAAAAAAAGGCAGAAAGATTGAGAAAAGGGATTCTATAGGATCTCTCGGAATAAAGAAAGCACAGAATTCACGAGCGATCTAATCTAAGAGCCAATAATTAATAGTCACGAACGTCTCGGATGTTATAACTCGCAGTACAGACGCATGAACTAGTAGCTAAATGAATAGATCAGTAGATTTTTATACCATTTCGCATAATATAACATGGCTGTGGCGTCTGGGTTCTGGGTGACAAGGGAGAGTAGGAGAAATAGAGGTAATGATCCCTGATGCTCTCGAGGCGTTTATAAGTTAAGCAGTATTCTGGGCTCGAGATATCCGAGGCTCAATTAGGCTCAACGACCCGCAACTCAGCTCCACTAAAATATAACACATATAAGAAATCATATTTCTCGCTTTTCGCAAGCGAAACTCAAATACGAATTGCAAATTAGCTCTCGAATTCGGTCGCTTTAAAATTTCAAATCGAAATTTCACGTTCTAACGAATCGCTGAATTCGAAGTATTTTGCCAGAGAATTCATCGAGAGGTTCTTGTTCCGTCATTCGCACACGTCATTTCGCACTTTGATCGCGAGCGATCCAAAACACTTAAACATTTTCGAATCAGTCGGGACTCGGAGAAGGTAAGACGGAGTGAGAAATAAAAGATGCAGGAAAAATCAAGGAAAATAGTACTTCGGTTTCCGAGTGAGCCACACCTCCCCCAAAGAGATCCGCCATCTTTTATTTTTATATCGTCTGTAGCACCGTGTGCGCCCTCTAGCGCGGAAACGTAGATACTTGGGAGTATCCGGTTGCTTGCGTGATATAAGAATATAAAGCCCATTCTACAATTGCATAAGCTAGTTGTAAGTTGTTAGGCGCGTTCACACTTTGACGGAAAAGCGGAAAAGCAGTAACCAATCAGAACTCTAATTGATAGTCTACAATTTCGCCTTTTTGTACTACTTACTACCAGCGCGAGTTCTGATTGGCCATTGCTTTCCCGCTTTCTATTTTTGCCCTAAGTAATTGTAGTTGTAAGAATTAATCAATTACAGTCAAATATGAAGAAAATATTCGATTGCGATTAGTCAATTCTTACTAGGCTTTCTACAATAAGTCATTATCTAAGTTTTAAATCTTAAGCTATATGAAATTAACCAATCATAATCGATTTTTCTTACATTCGACTGTGATTAGTTAATGTCTTAAGCTCATTCTACAATTCGTAAACGTAATTGTAAATAATATTATAGTATATAATAATTGTAGTTGTAAGATTTAACCAATCATAGTCAAATATGAGGAAAATACTCGATTATGATTGGTTAATTCTTACAACTATAATCACTTATAACTACGTTTACACAATTGTAGAATAGGCTTAAGATTCCATTTCCAAGGATGCGCCAACTGTTTTGAACATGGCGGCTGTTCTTTGACCAATCAAAACCCCAAATTGTAAAATGAAATGGTAACTACCATGTGCATTCACTTCTGGGGCAAGCATTTGATTAATTACTTCTAATTTAGTGTGCCGCCATTAAGAGTTTATTTCCTAGTATTTGAGTATTCATATTATAGGCTGGTATTCATACATAATCGGTTCTTATTTCTAAGACCTTATATTTAAGACCGTTTTAAGTAATGTTTTAAGTTGCTAATGCGGCCCTTTGATTGGTTCACATCTTAAGACGGTCTTAAATATAAGACTATGAATACCGGTCATAGTCTTAAAAAATACTTTATGTAATATTGTTGTAATATTTAATATACATTTATTTCTATTCCTAATGTTTCTTCTATTATGCACAAAATCTAAAATTGGTTGGTGAATTGCGGCATGCACAATTGAATTACTTTAAAATTTTAAAAAAGCGTCTGACAAATATCAGATATTTTTAAAACATATGCTGATTAGAAGCTTTTAGTCTAAATCAGTCTAATTTGTGTTGCTTGAAATCTCAAAAAAAATTTTACGCTTAAAAAATGAGATAAATAATTTGGGTATTGAAGAGAAAGAAAGTAAAGATATTAAATGCAAAAAGTGCAAGCAACAGACTTATTAACTCATAAATAAATCAAGTAACTCACTCAATCTGTATCAAATATTAAATAAATGATTCAAATGATTGAATCATTTCGACAAGAAGAATGGCGTGACGAGGATAATAATTACAATTCCTTATATTTATTTGTGACATTTCTTTCTCGAGTTCACGTAATATAATATATTTAGTAACTTTATTTACAAGTCATCGACCCACAGTGCATAGACTAAATGTACTTTAGCGTTTGCTCGGGAATCGATTTATTTACAAAAACGTGTTTTCGAGTTACGGAACAATTTTTAAGTCCGCAAATGTAATCGGACAAGTGTCTCATTCACAAATATGTTCCATGAAAGTAGAAGTATAATCACTGCAATTGCGTCTTATAAAAAGATCGAATGAATGTCCCCTTGCGCATCTCATAATTTCACTGTTTCTGTTCTTTCACCAAATATTGGTAAACAGGCTTCGTCGTCATCCAAGAAACGCGAAGCTAAATATAAATACGATACGCTGCTGAAAACGTAGCAATACTTTGTCTCGAGAGAATAGAAATCGCTACCATCAAGCCGACAAACATTATATTCGATGAAGAAACGCGGGGTCCCATAAATCTCTATGTAACGCTAGAACGATCAATGTTTTCAAGTTTCTTTATCGTCCTCATATAATTTAAAAAAATAAAAATTTAACATCTTTAAAATAATAAAGTAAAATTGCAAATCAGACCAGATGTAGAACGATGAAAAGTTATAACGTAGTCATTTTGAATCATAATTATCATTCAAAATCGGTACGAGATGTCTCGGTCGTTCTAGTGTTAGAACATCTTCCAACATTAAGAATCTCATTAAAAATTATTTGCTGAACTTTGCCTGCTTCTATTACACATACGCTGCCTATCTAAAAGACACCACCTATAGAAGTTAGTTTCACAAATTTATTTAAATTACTGTCTGTAAAAAAAACTAAATTCAAGAAATACGAATCCAAACACTGAATAATACAAAACAATATCTCCATGTAATGCCTACATAACTGTAATTTCACATTCAAAGCTCAAGTGGCTTGCTCGCTTTAGCTAAACATAGATCCCTCGTGCACTAGCGGCGTGACTTTCAGATGGGCAGCGAATGTATTAAAAAACCAATTTTTACACATAATACACGCTTTTTATGTCTATATATTCAGTACCTTGCGCTTCTTTTTTCATGTATAGCAAAATAATGTTAGCATAGCAATCGAAAATTCTAATCTCTCTCCTTTTGAAGATACTTGTGCATTCAGATACCAGGTTGAATGACTTTTAAATTCTTTTTACCCTTCATTTTAATGTACTTTGTACACTTGTGGACGCTTAAGATAAACCTACGGTGATAAATCGGTCCAAGATACAGTCTGAAAGATCGTCTTATATATTCGTCGATACATTCGCCAGATGAGAAAATGCTCGATAAACGAAAATGCTACAAAAATGATTCTTATTTCTCTTTCTTTTTCTCTTCATCATAAGCATACAAGTATCATTTGTACCATATAATTCCCTCGATCTTACGAACGCGACGAGTACATTTAGCATAACGTTAGAGTCCCATGAGCAATTTTACATTTTTCGAAATTTCATGAATTTTAAAATTCGTGAATGTCTTTGCAAATAGCTAATGTACCATGTTCGTAATCGTCATCTATGTGTAAATTACTTTCGCAAGATATTTTCTCTCTCTCTCTCTCTCATTCTCATATTATATTATTATAACGTATATATATATAAAATATGTGTTTACATATCTCATATATATTTCATTATATTAAATATAATATAAATATTATATTTATATGTGTTTATATATATCTAGTTGATATATGTAGATAATTCACATATTAATATATCAGTTAAGAATATCTAGTCGATTGTTGAAGTAAATAAATGTTACAAATAGAACTTATATGTATGTGTGTTTTAAAGATGAGCTTGTATCTTTTATAAAATATTGTCATATTATAAAGAATATTTTTTACATATCGGATAACAAACGTACAAGAGACTATTTATCTCTTGCATTTATATAAATAAAATATTCAGACAGCCAGATCCAGTAGCGAAAATAAACGTGTGAATGCGGATTAATGTGCCACTGACGCAAATAATATTTACGCTATATCTAACATATAATATTATGAGCACACATAAAAATCAAAATTATAATGCTTATAGTCTACTATTAGGACGTTTTTCGTAATTACATGTATTACGCAAACCTGAGTTTAATTTTATTTGCAAGCACAAAATAATTATGAAAATTGACTTTATGTGTTTTTCTCCTGAGATTTGAAATTTACTTCGTGTTCCTGATGCAACTCCCCGTACAATTATATACGCAATCATATGCAATAAAGTAAATTATGAATGTAATCGATCTTTAAAAATTAGACTAGGTAACTCGTTTATGTAATGTCAAGCAATAAAAGATAGATATATATTTTTTGATATAAAATTCTAATGTTTGTTTGTTTTTTTATGCAAATATTTTTTTTACACACAAATTATTTTGTTTCTCAAGTAATTCTTTAAGATACGAAAAAAGTTTATAGTTCATTGTGTACTCAATGAACTACAAAAAAAAAAGGGAAAAAAATGCAATTATTCGCGCATGAGACTCTAATGTATAGTTAAACAGTAAACAATATTATCTCTTTTCGAAATGTAAGATGAGATAAACTTTTTACAGAAGTCATCGTTTTAAAGCTGGTCCGATATACATATATATCCTTTTTGTGTAATTACATAGAAATTATATGATCTTGAGATGAATAATTAAATCGAAAGCAACGATATTAATGTCGATCGAAATTCTCAAAATTATTTCGTTCAATTTGATCCTTTATTAACTGATGGAATGTTCTCATTTTCTTTAATTAATTCTACGAACGATTCTTCTATGTATCTTTCGAGCTTCTTTATTAAGAAACAGTTCGTTCTATATATCACTTTCGATCGTGACAATAACTTCGCACTCTCACGCGCTCTTCTACACACGAGAAATATATATTATATATTTATTTTTATAATATGTTTGACTTGTGATGTCACATACTCATTTTATTTCGTACGCTTTTCGTGTTAATAAGATCGCATTGTTTGCAGAAATACGAATAGAATATTAAATACGACACCACCACTCTGTGTAAGTAAATATAATCAGGTGCTAGAGCTTGCAATTCACAAGTTCGAGGAGTTTGCGTATTATTTGCCTAAGGGTTTTTGCAAGTCCCATTGTAAATAAGCAAGCGTGATGTATTCTATAAATAATACTACATTAAACGTATCGATTATCTAGTTCTTATTCCTGTTGGCAACGATACGTTTTTACGTTCGACACATATGTAGTATATAGACTATTTTTATGCCTGTGCTGACAATAATAAAAACATTTTGCTTTGTTCCGAATTTAAGGAACGTAACCGTGCAACAGTCAGTATTTATGAATTAGCAAAATATAATCACAGTATATTCTCATAATATCTATTAACTAACTGAGAAAATGAGAGATTAGAACAGATACGTTCTGAATAAAAAACATATTGAAATTAATTGCTCAAGTCGTCAGATAATTTTCACATTCTTGCTAGATGATAAGACATGTATAGAGTAAGAAACTTGCAGTTCTATCTTAGGCAAATAGATCTTATCATGTGACGTCATTTAGAAAGTACGCACATGAAGCTCTAACAGCTTGTCATATAATCAACAATAAGAATTTTCACATTTTTTCAGTCTTATAAACAATACGTCGTTTTTGTAGAAAGCTGTGTCCTCTTCTTCGTTCTAACGCTTCGTTCTATATCATATACTAATCTGTATATTTGTAGTTTCTAAATAACATTCCGCGAAACTTGGAAAAATGGCTTCACAAACGATATCAAGAATCTTATTCGATAAAAAAAAAGATCTTTTGAAAGAGAAATACCGTCCAACTGATTAATCGACTCTATTTTTAATCAAAAAACATGGCGTTATTTCGATAAATCTCTTGATACGAAGACTTGATAAAAAGATCTACATAGGCGAGCACCAATTTAACGACGTGTATCCAGCATCCGTATAGGAGATGTCACAGGTGCTTCGGACGTAAAGGAGAATGTAGAATACCGATTCTCCGACCAATAGTAGCGTTACCAATGTAATTTCGTGCTTGTAAAGCTGAAACGTAATTTGAGTCCGATGTCACTTTAGTTATGCACTATGGTTGATGCGTGTTGAAGTCTCTCAAGCTCTTCCAATGACAAGACATTCGTTTGTGCAAGCTCTGGAAGCTTGCCAGCCCGAGCTTGAGCGAGAAGCTCTGGGCTAAACCATCGCGCAAGTTGATTAGATGTTGGCGAAAGATCACCTCCGTTACTACCCACAAATCCGAGGCCTGGTGAAGGTTGACGGCCGACTGCCATATTCAACTGCGATCGCATCGTTTGTCCATCTGCACATATGATTCAATGTTGTAATAAAATATCGTTAAAAAAACAAGGGCAAATATTATCGTTGTAGATATATGCGGATTAATCACACAAGATACTAAAAACGAGAATAATTTGCCAATTTTATTTATATAATATAACGATAGCGTATAAAATTTTCTAGCGTAAAGCATTTCAATGTAGTTGACAATTGTTTACTTAGTTTAATCCAAAGGAGACTAAATGACATCATGATAGAATTAAGTGAAGGAGAGCTAAGAATAATTTATTTTTCCGATTTCTGAACACCGTTGCATACAATTTGATTTGGGAGGGAAGAAACACCTGAAAATTAATGTAAATAGGATAAGGAGAGAATTTTATAAATATTGATGTTGATAGGTAGAGAGACGTCGAGGATCGTTTGATTTGTTAGAAATTATTTCAAAACATTCGTAGTGTTAATACTTCATCGAATCATTACCTGTACGATTAGAATTGTAGTTTTGGCTCATGACAAGTTGCATAGGCGTATTTACAGCCCTTTGTGGCGGTTGTTGTTGCATGTTAACAGTTCCATGCGGTGGTGGTGGTTGCATATTAGTGAGATGCGTTGGGACTTGCTGTGTCTTCATCTGGGTATTCATAGGATTTGATCTCTGATTCATAATCGAGTTTTGCGCTATATTATATTGTGGAACATTATGATGCGGTAACGAAGTTGCCATTGTGTGTTTGGATCGTGCTGGGTTGCCGTAAACATTCGACACTGTTCTATGCTGTTGTTGGAATTCCGCACTTCCCGTATTATATTGGAACTGATTGCTACTAGTGTTGCTGTTATTACCTTTTACTATAGGTCGACCTGAAATTAAAATTAGAATATTAAAAGTAGTTGACAGCTACACCATATTGCTTATCTTAAAATAAATCTTTTATCTGAACGATATTCACGAAAATAAGACTTTTCTAATAAAAAAATTCTTTACAATTCTATATTTAATGATATTAACCTGGATGCTGTTTGAGAGATGGATTCGACCATGTCGATTGAACGGGTTGCGATCGCAATGCAGTATGTCGAGATAGAGCTCCCTGTGCAAGTAATTGAGCCGCAGCAGACTGCATTTGTTGCATCTGAGAAGCCTGAGTTTGTGTAGACAATTTGGGTGGCTCATTGCTGCTTCCTACATTCAGATACATAATAATTTTATAATGATAAACAATTATTTGACTTTGTCGAACATTTGATATAAGTACAAACGTTAATGCTTTCTTAATATGAATGCTTTCCTTAAAAAAAAAACAAAAAAAAAAAAAAACAAAAAAACAAAAAAAAACAAAAATAAAGCATCTAGCAGTATAAACAAATATTTTTTTCAAAATTAAATGCTTAAATTTATGTAATAAAATTTATATATGTACATATACATATACACCTTGTAAAGCAATTAAATATTTATCAAATTATTCATTGAAGTTCTGTATTCTACCATTTTCCTATTTTTTATCAATTATCTTATGATCGTCATTTTATATATAACAATTATATAAAATTACGTTGTGTGTAAATAAAATATCATATTGTGAAAATTATATTCTGAATATAATATTAATCGTAATTGTAATGCTTTCATAAGAATAATAATAAATGCAGCTGTTGTTAAATATTTATTTATATTACATTCATTTTCTGTAATAGCGCATGCAATTTTGGCAAACATAAGGATTAAGCACAAATATGGCAAAATTAGGAAAATGAAAATAGAAGTTCAATACATATATTGATAAAAAGATGCAACACAGGAGAAAGTGTGAGCGTGTGTAAAAAAAAGAAAAGTTAAAGCAGATGAGACAGGATCAATAAAGCTTTTTATTATAAAAGAAACTATTTCAACATTCTATTCAAAAATGTAATAAATCTATGTTAAGAAATGAAGAGTTTATTTTATAAAGTGCTTTTTTAATCACATATAAAATAAAAATTATATTTCAAAATATGTCACATTAAACCTTTCAAACCATGCCGCGGACATTAAACGAAGAAACAAAACAGCTGCTTTTCATTATAACGCAAAAATAATAAAAAGAAAAATATAGCTTCAAATGATTAAGAATTTGCTATTTTATGAAATATTATGTGCACTTTATCAAACTCCTCATTGACGTAACAGCACAATTAAACATTTTCACCGGTTGTGAGTAAAGTAACATTTTGCAAATCAACGTTCTTTATCTCGTCTGATGATGTAGATGCGGTCACTTTATTTTCGTCTACCAACGTTTCTAATTCAGATGATTTTTTTAATGCCTCATCAAGCGAGACACAATCATTATTGTTGGTATCGTTATCATCTACTACATCAGATTTTGTTGTTTTTGCATCGTCGTTTGCATTTTCATTAACATCATCAAGGAAAACATTTTCCTTCGTTGTGTTAATTTTCGAAATATCTTCTGTATCTTTTTTCTGCTGTAATGCGCACAAATATTTGGTCTTTAATGCCGATTCTTCCATATCGAAAGTGGTATTGTTACTTGTACGATTAACTATAGCAGAATGCAGGAAAATCATTTTAAGAGTCTCATTTTGCACCTGATTGACAGAATCAGAAAACTTAGAGAGATTAATAGAAGAAGCCGCGGTGAGTATGGGACAATTATTTTGAGACATGCGAGAATTAATATTTCCATTAATAATTGCAGGAGTGATAGAAGAGGTCGTTTCTACTTGGCAGAATTGATTCACACCGTCAGGTTCCTTATCAGCAGTCATTTTGCGTAAAACGGAGGTTGGAGTGAAAGCAAGCGGACTCGCTGTTTGCTTAGCTGGTGAATTAACGGGACTTGACGTGCGCTGCTGCTGAACTTGCTGTTGTTGCTGCTGCTGTTGCTGTTGCTGCTGTTGTTGTTGTTGATCCTGTCGCTTACGGAAATTCTCACGCTGTTCCTCCAACTTCTTCTTGATTAAAGCACTTTGCATTATAGACTGAGTATGCATAACAATTTCCCTTGGAGATGGTACTCTATGCGGTATCACTGTTACATAATAATTTACAATATTAATTTTCTTAAATTTTTTTTTCAACTTCAATGATATCGCCCAATATATAATTTAAATTAAAATTATTTATCCAATTATATTACATTATATAGCCTTTTTGTCATGTAATTTTAAACAGAAATATTTATGTATTTAAAAGATGAAAGATGATAATATAAAATAATATAAAATAATATAAAAAAATTAATAAAATATAAAGTTTAATGTATTTATTATATTACCTGGATGTTGTACTGTTAAAGTACTAGGATTAGTTGTTAAATTTGGTGATATTATCGGAGGTGGACAATAAGCTGCATTCCACACAGTACAAAATCATTCAATTTAATAAAAATTAGAGCTCCTAAGTTTTTAATTAGCCTTTAGATAATAAAAAAGGATTTAGAAAGGATATTGACATGTAAAATATCTTACCGTTATTCATAGGAGATGGAATTCTCTGCTGTTGTTGCTGATACAGCATCTGTTGTAGAATATGTTCTTGAGGGATAGGAGCAGCAGGATGAGGATGTGGACTTATCGTACGAGGTGTGGTGCCACCATACATTTTTAAAATGTTCACCAGCACTTCTCGATGACGATGTTGCATTGCAGGATTCTATCAAAAATAAAATTCATATAATTAATAAATGTTGATTATACAGATTATCATAAATAACTGACCTGCAACTGTTGTATTAGATGTTGCCTAGTGATCTCCCCTTGTTGTAAACCTTGAATAATTGCTTGAGCTTCCGGTCGTTGCAAAAGCTCTTGGCTCGACGGGACATTATTTATCATCATTTGCATCTCCGCCGGCACTGGACTGACACCTAACATCCGTTGATTACCCATCATCATCGATAACATATCGGAATGTCGTTGTTGTTGCTTTTGTTGCTGTTGTTGTTGCTGCTGCTGTTGTTGCTGCTGCTGCTGTTGTTAATATTACATATTCATTTGTCAAAATTCATTACATTAATCACTAAACAAAGAATGATGTATGTCATACCTGTATTTGCAAGACTTTCATTAAATTCTCATGTTGCATCTGAACCTGATGGGGATGTTGAGTAGGGCCAAGGGGACCAACGTGATTAAATGTTGTAGTATGAATTGGTTCAGCGGGCGGCTGCTGATGTGGCATCGATGACTGTTGGGTTTTCAGTTGCGAATTAAGTAACTGAAAAACAAAGAATGAAAGAAATGCAAAATATATGCGTTAATTAACATAGCAAAAAATTAAATGTAACTTACTTGCATTAACGTTACAGGTTGTTTTTGAGTGATAGGTCCGTTAGCTGCAGGCACAGCTTGTCCTCCAGTCACTTGAGCAAGCTAAAAAAAAATTGTTTTAATGCATTTTGAATAAAGTAAAATTATCACGTATCGACTTACCAGTTTCTTAAAAGCAGAGAGATCTTCAGTCTTATTTACACGGGGTGCATCAGTCGAAGTCGCAGGTGGAGGAGCACCACCCCGCATACGTGCTTCCAATTCTTCCAAACTATGCACAACTTTACCACCAACTTCTAGAAAAAAATTTATACCTATTATGTATCACTATAATCTATTTACTCAATGACAATATTTATCCAAATGACATCTATCTTACCCAAATCTTTGAGAGAACAATTTTTCATCATAGGTATAGCCGTATTACTCGCGTCACCCTGTCCATTTTGATTCGGCTTATTACCGCGATGTAACATCTCGAGTAACTTGACGCCATTTGTTGCCGTATTAGCATTATTGGTCGTGTTGGCCGGAGAAATTGGTGCGAAATAGGTGTTCGATTCCGTCACCGATGGTATTTGAATATTTGGCTCAGTGATATCGTTCAATAAATTGTTCAGCAATTCATCTTGTATGGAAGCTCTACGACTATCCTCGCGAACCAGTACCACTATTCGACCCAACTCCATTCTAAATAAAAAGAAAAAAATCATTTAACATAAAGAAGTGAAATAATTTTAAATGTTTGAAGTACAAATATTATATAACTCACCGTCAATAATCCAGAAACGCCAGGGAACGTATCAGATTTCAGGAACTCATCCAGATTAAAATCTGGATGCGAGTCCTCTTGATTTTGATTTGCGCCAGAGTTCTCACCCGATTCAGAAGTCGGTTCGGTACTCTCATTGATGTCATTCTCTTTGTTCTGAGTAATAGATTGTTCAGTTTGTTCAGAAATTGGAGAATGTGGCGCCGGTACAGCGTTTATAGGCTGATCCATGACAGTTGGAGTGCTGCGTCCTTTAGGGCCTGCTGAATTCTCATTCGATTTGTCTTCTTTCTCTGTGGCATTCCTCTTGCCCCGTTTCTTTTGCGCGGCAGTTTGTTTCTTACTCTTGGTATTACTACTGCTCACTACTTTTTCCTCCGGAATATCTTCAAAGCCTCTGAGCTCAATTGTATCGTGTTGCGATGTAGGTCCCGAGCTGAACCATTCTGGTTCGTCCGAATCGCGATTGTCACTATAAGTTCGTCGACGATCATTGCTGTATCTCTTTTCGCGTCCGCGATCCTTATCACGTTCCATTTGATGATTATTCCGTTCATTTCGGTCTATTCCTCTATCGCCACGATCGCGCTCTCTCTCGCTACGATCTCCATAATCTCGGCCGAATGATCTCCGCTCAAACCTCTCATCTCGCTCACGCAGATTATCGCGATCACGTTCCCTTTCTCGCATATCACGATCTCTATCTCGTTCCTTCCCGTCACGATTATCTCTATTATCACGATCACGCAGAGAGCCACCAGCAGCCGTACCTGATCTAAAACCATAATCCGCACGTTCAGAATCGATCTTTTCGTTTTCCGCTCTAAAGTCCCATATATCCCGTGTTAAAATTCTGCCGCTACCGATTCGACGAACAGGTTCACGATGACTGACCTGTAAAATATTTCATAATTATGTTTATAAACAGAACACAAAGCGATATAAATGAAAATAGATAGAAACGCATGTCTCGGAAAAAAAGAAAATTGCGAAATGACTGCGTACTTCTGTTTTGCCAATCGGACTCTCCGGACGTCGGTTTGGTGGCTGATTCACGTTAACAAAACATCCCGAATTAAAACTTCTCCGTTGGGGGCTCAAAACAATGCCGTCTTGCTCTTTACGTATTCGGTCTCGTGGATCACCATTATTACGTCGCTTACTATGATTCTCAGTGATTTGATCACCACGTCCAGTTCTTTCTTCTTTCGGGGGTGTATCGCTACGCTTTCTATCCGAATGCCAACGTTCGGGATCCCAAACACCTCTTGAGCTGTAAAAGGAACAAATTGATGATTAACGAGACAAATATCGATATCTCGATAATTCGAAAGATCCCAAATCTTCATAACTTACTTGTTATAAGCGATATCTAGAAATGTAGGCCTACGTCTAGATAATCGCAAATTTTTTATCAGCATTAGATCTTCCTAAAAAAAAAAAAAAACAAAATATATAGAATATATATATACACACACACACAGGATGAATATAGAATAGTAGCAGTCTCTTAAGTCAACAGCACACGATGCTTGCTTTCTTGCTAAATTGCTTACGTTTTGGTAAATTATTAGAAATTCTGCATTCTGTGTGGTGTACTTCCAATAATTTACTAAAACACAAGCAATCAAGGAAAATAAGCATCGTGCCACAGATATTATACTTTTGCAGTTGCAGTCGACAATTCATCTTCCATGATAAAAATCTAGTTCAACCATTAACATTCACCTTGTATATCGCAAGGGGCAAAACTCGGCATATTATTTTGAGAAATTCTAACAATTTCAAAGCAATATTTACCCGAGAATATTGAAACTGTGGTCTAGAACGGCCTATTTCGACGATTGAAGCGTCGGTCACTTCACCAGCCACCGACATCGATATAATGGCTTCATCTCCTATAAAATAAAAAAATAATAATAATATAAAATAATTGTAATATGAGAAAAATGTGTTCAGACAGCTTCGTTGAGTGATCAAATCTCATCAAAATGTAACAGTAACAATCTACCAAGAATTCTTACTGCGCATTCTTATAAATGCGATCAAAAAGACTGGCGTAACGCGATCGTACTTACGGAAGGTCACTCGCTTCAGAAGATTGACGGATTTGTTTTTTCGAAACCAACGGCAGGATCTAGTTTGCATAACCAGGATATCCAAAAAAGGAGACCCAGTCGGGCCGACTAGCGGTCGTTTCCGCGGTCGGCGATACCAATTCGAGCCGATAAATCGTTCAACGGCAACGAATCTCATTGTAATATCGTTTGTCTTGCCTCAAATAAGCCGACTACGAGAAAGCCTTTATCTGTTCGGCCGTTCTGCCCTATCTAACCGTTCGTGATGTTTCCTCGCGCAACAACCGTTCTCAGCAATGTAAACAAACAGGTAAAGGGCAAACGAGGGTCAATAAATTCCCAGGATAAAGTTCCGTCACGAAATACGTTGCTCCGTAAGTCAGAAAATGATATTATTCCACACACAAACGATTTGTCTCTAAAATTTCTATTCCTTAAGAATCAATAAAAAAAAACTCCAGATCTATATCAGAAATCTCTTTTTCTTTCACTTTTTTTCTTGGCCTTGAAATCGGCGAAACGATTTTAAGTACACTCGTCTTATCCTTTGAAGCAAAGCAGTTTAGAAAAACAAATTCCTATATTTCTCGTGTTTCTTCGTAAAGAGAAAAAAATGTTAAATGTCCGACTTTTTCAATATACCAAACTTTAGAATATTTCTTATCAAAACAATTATATATTTGATGTTAGATATTAACAGTTTTCTATGTGTCCACTGCTTGTATAATACCCGCACAACTTGATACAGAAACAATATATGTAAACCGTCGTGTAAGCAGAGTACAGTGCAGACTGACTGATTCAAATCGTCTTCAGACAAGATACCTCTCTTACAAACCAATCAAAGCCTTCCTGAGAAGATCCCAGATAAGTAAGCATTTGATTGGCCATGGACGAAATCATTTAAATATAACTGATTCTTATCTAAGAAAATTTTCAGAAATTATGATTATCTTATAACAAAAAATACAATATAATCAGAATAATGCGTGCTATTAGATATTAGAACATGTAAAAAAATATTAGATACAAGTAATATTCTTTGTTCAATCTAGAAATTTATGTATATCTTTTATGTAGTAGGTACTTTGAAGAAAATGTGGAATTTTGTCAATTCAGTATAAATATTTGAAAGATTGTTTGCTGTGTATGGATGAATAGACTCGAAAGACTATGAGAAAGAGAACAGAAATGAAAAAGCCAATATTGATGCCACAAGTCCTAAACATGTTAATCATTAATAACGAAGGCAAAGAAAGACAATTCCCATTTATATATCTCAAAAATAAATTAAAAGATGACAAATGATAAAGAAAAAAAATAAAGGGATTAGTAAAAAGTGATAAAACAAGTTGAGATTTGTTAGTTCAGTTTTAACTTGCATACAGTAATCCATAGATTATTCTGTATTTACATGGGCTACTTTCCTTTTAGGAGAAACACAGTCGACATAAACGTTATTCTATCTTTCTTTGTTGTTCAATGAATAACAAAAATAAAAGAACATTTGTATTGACTGTTTCCTAAAAGGAATTAAGCAGGTCGAAAATAGATCGCTTTGTACATTAAAGTAAGTACTTTAATCTTCTGTAATATTTCAGCAAGCAAATATAGGAGCATCAAAATATGTGTTCCTTCAAATTCACGTTGATTTCTACCTTACAAGAATCAACAGTGAATCCAGTTTTATTGCGTTTCCGCGTTTGAATTTTTGTTCTTTTTCAGCATAAAGAATGTAACGTTTATGTAATAAAAGAGATTAGTTTTCTGTGGCTAAACTAGTGTATACTTTTAAATTAAAAGTGAAATAGATATATGTTTGATATCGAAAACGAGAAAGAGTTCTAGTGCAGTCTAGTACAGGAACAGAAAACAGACTAATTGATTGATTAATGAAAGAGAGAGAGAGAGAGAGAGAGAGAGAGAGAGAGAGAGAGAGACGTTCATTTCTATCAATATAGATTAACTTTAATTTTGGTTTAATTTATTATACTTTTTATCCTTTTCTAATTTTTAGAACAAGATAAAAAGTTAAACTAAGATTACAGTTAATCTAGTTTTCAAAACATTCTCTTCAAGCAAAAATCTTATTAGATATAAAGTCTGCTCATTTTAGCTGAATTTCTTGCACACAGTTCATCTTTTCTTTTTTCTCTCCAACAAGAAAAGAAAAAAGGGAAAGGTAAACTGTGCAAAAAGTTCAACTAAAAAGAACAAGTACACATTACGTGTATTATATATATATATATATATATATATATATATATCCTCGTAGAGGACGTTTTAGAATGTAGCTGTACATTGGTAAAACCGGCAAGAAAAAAAAAAGAATAAACTTATCATAAACGAGCGAACTCGCGAGGTTATCTGCCATATACCCTTAGATTTCCAGCACCATGTCCGAAACAAGGAACGAAAAAAGAAAATAAAATTGTCGATCAATCGACTCGTACCTTCTTCCTTCTTCGTGGCCACCTTCGCAGCTGCCGTTGTCGTCGTCGTAGTCGACGCCGTTGTCGCCGTTGTTGTCGTCGTCGTGGTGGTCGTCGCCGTCGGCGGTAGCGGTGGCTGCTGCTTGTCACTTGTCACAGACTCGACGGACATCGCGCCGTTGATCGCGTCGGCCTTTCGTCGATTGCCAGAGGGGTAGGATGGGGTGTCCTGCGCGGATACCGGCGTTTCCGTCCCTTGTGATTCGCTATCTTTTCCGAGATGCGATCTCTATCTATGTCTCTCGTACACCATACACCACACAGAACGGTGGCACGTAACACACCCGCACACACAGACACAGACACACGCAAAAATGTGCGCGCGGGCGCGCGTACGATATACACGCGCGCACACGCACACACACACTCTCTTTCTCTCTCGCGCGCGCGCGCACGGGACGCGCGCGATCGCTCTAGCTAAGCTCGCACGTCTACACGCGCATACTCACACGCACGCACACGTATACACGGGGGCGCGCGCTCGCGCACCTTTTTACACTTACTAGTTTACACCTCTAAATATATATATATATATATAATATATATTGCTTAGTACTGCTTAGTATCACAGACTGGTTTTCCCTTTCTACGTGTCGTGACTTGGCCAACGATCGACGAAGCTTCGATGGGACGATGTGTCCTTCTTCTTGCCGTTTCGACAGCGAGATGAACGATTAGTGGACAGGAGAAAGAGAAAGAGAGAAAGAGAGAGAAAGAGAGAAAAGGGGGAGGGGGAGAGAAGAGAAAAGAGAGAGCAAAGAGTGTGTTTATTGGGATAAAGGAGATTGTACGGGAGGGAGAGAGAGAGAGAGAGAGAGAAAGAGAGAGAGAGAGCACGAGTGAGAGTTTACACGCGAAGCTGCGCAAACGAATGGGCCCTGACGATTCTGCGAATGGCACGATCGCAGGATCTTTTCGTCGCGTGTCGCCCAACGGTCATCAACATGTCACAACACGGCCCGTATAAGTGCAGCAGCTCGCCGCCGATAACCGTCAGTCCATCGATCTCCGTATATCACACACAACAAAATAAACGGCTCGTGTACACACACGCGCGCGCACGCACTGGTTTCTCACTCGCGGTGCTATGCAAAAATAGAAAATGGCTGCGCGATCCCCACTTCTGCCGCCGCTGTTTCTTCCGAGCCCGACCGATCGCCTGGCTCTTCACTCTTCCTTGCCTCGCCTCGCCTCGCCTCGCCTTGCCTGCCTTCCTGCCTCCGCGATCCCATGCAATGTCTAGACGAACGTTTTTCACCGAGGGGGATCGGAAACAGGGAGATGGAATTTGCGGCACAAGTTCTAAAAACACGGTGGAAAGGGACGAACGATATGAGGAAAGCGCTGTCATCGATGAAGGTTCGACTGGGTTCGACGTGCGACGGGCCGGGCGGACCACTAGAATTCCTCGACGATTAAAGCCTGTTCACAATGGCTAAATTCAGCCGTCACTCGTCAGGAGCTCAACAGTTGAGTGAGCGCTCGCTGCTGTTGACGTATTTTTCTAGATTAAAAATACTTATTGGATGATCTAAAAGAATACATCAATAGTAGCGAACGCTCGCTCAACTATTGAATTCGTTGGGTGCATTCAGAACGACTATGAACTGAAATAAAAGTTCCATTTTACATTTGATGCGCGTGATGTGTAATTTTATCCTTGTTGCTCATCAAATATTAAAAAGGGATAAAATTATTTATGCGCATTATGTGTAAAACAGAACTTTATATCAGTAAAAAAACTTTCAACTGTTACAAAATAAATATTTTACTTAACGTAACCAATTATGAATCTAAAAACGGAAAAAAACAGATTGTTTAATGCTTTTCATACTTCGCTTTCAGCGAAATAAAATCCAACGTAATTCGAATAAATTCGTTATAAAATTCAAGCGATCCTGCATTTGTATCAAAATGCTAAAATGTGTTTTCATTGAGAGAGAAAACGTAGAGAAAATTTACAAATATATAATCATGAAATAGTCGCCTGTGATTGGTGCGCGCCTCCATGCGATTGATTATTGGCCAATTGAGAATCGCTACTTCTCTAAACCAATGATGTTTCAATGATTTCTCATAACAAAGAGCATAGCATTTAAAAGCCATATAACGCACGTGTTAATTTGCACGTTTTATATTTATGACAAAATGATAAATTACAGATTCTTCGTTATGATTGCGAGACATACTTGTCATAATGCGAAGCTTTTTACAAATGTTTCATCACAATTTTATTGTAAGTATATACTGAGTTTGGTTATGTCTGTTTAAAGGGATAAATTTGTTTCAAACGTTAAATTATAACGATTGTTAAGATGTTAAGATATTTATCATATTGCAGCCTCGGACCTCACGTTCGTTCCCAAATGTTATCCAGCATCAACAGAGGATGTGATGAGATTAAAAGAATTTGTCGATAGACATCATCATCTATGCGTGTTAACCGGAGCAGGAATATCCACGGAAAGTGGTATCCCCGATTATAGATCAGCCGAGGTCGGTCTTTATGCCCGAAGCAATCGCAAACCAATTCTTTACAAGGAATTTTGTGACAGCGAAGCAATCAGAAAACGATACTGGGCCAGAAATTATATCGGATGGCCAAGGTTTGTCTTTTTGTAATTCAAACACACATATAGATTCCATATATTATTTTAAAAAATTAATAGAGATGTATCAACATCTCTTATCAGCATATGTTTATAGGTTTTCCTCTCTTAAACCAAACATTACGCACGAGATACTGAAACATTTAGAATATATTGGAAAGGTGGGATGTATTGTTACACAGAATGTAGATAATTTACATTTAAAGGCAGGAAGTAAGAAGGTGATAGAGCTGCATGGAACAGCGTTCAGAGTAATGTGTCTGAATTGCGATCATAAAATAAGCAGACACGAACTTCAAAGAGTATTTCAGAAATTCAATCCTTCTATGATCGCAACTACTCAGATGATAAGACCTGATGGTGACGTAGAATTGTCACAGGTATATACAAGTCATATTTATATATATGCACATTTATACTTGCAATGTTTTAAATGCTATGTGTATTATTTTTAATAAAATATGTTTGACAGGCACAAGTGGAAGGTTTCAATGTTCCTGCTTGTGACAACTGTAGTGGCATTTTGAAACCAGATATTGTATTCTTTGGGGACAATGTATCACATGAGAAAGTACAAAACGTGAAAGATAATGTAGAGAATCTAGATGCTTTGCTAATTCTAGGAACAACTCTTAGTACATTCTCCGCATACAGAATTGTATTACAAGCGATTGATGCCAAGAAACCAATAGCAATAGTAAATATTGGCGAGACTAGAGCTGATAAGTGTATAAATTTAAAAGTAGAAGGAAGATGTGGAGATATTCTACCAAAGATTTGGCAGCTGAATATTTCAAAGGATTGTATAAGATGATAATAAAAATGAATAACTTTTAAATTATTAATTACATTAACTTAGCCAATTATTAAATATTATCAAAGATATTGTACAATGTATTATTAGGTGTTGGAATTAATTCGTAGCGTTTTACATGAAAGAATGTTAGTTATAAATATTAATTGTTTAATATATGTATCATAACATTTTAATAGACAATATTCAATTTAAATATAAAAATAATTAAACAGATGAAAATTTCTTGGAAAATCGTATGTTCCTTTTATTTAATTCTGTAGTTATTTCTTTGAATATTTTATAAGTATTTGTAATACATTAATCTTATCAATGGGAAGACTTTGCCTCCTTTGCGTTTTGTAAACTTTGAGTGATATACAGTTTTGCTAAGCTTTGAGCACAGAATTGCGAAATATGTTCACTATATGTATTAATTTGTCCAGCAACAATCATTGGATTTAATCTTGGCGGAACTGGGAGGGGTCTCATCAACTTATTGATATCATCATCGGGTAACGGTGGTTCGTCCTTTGCAGCCCTGGCAGCGTTTTCTTGAGCTCTCTTGGCCAAGAGCCTATTCTTATCTTGTTGCTGTCGAACCACCAATTGTTGATATCTATTAAACTTCATCGCTTCCTGATTTAATTCATCCACTCGATCCATTAAGCATCTTAACTGGTTCTCTAACACTGTGGCTGTTCCAAGATCCAGATACTTCGTACCCTGTTCCTCAGGAATCATTTCATCCAATTCCGACATCATGATATTCGTAAGATTACTGTTCTTTATGACTACTGGGATTTCAACAAAGAGACTTTCATATCCAATCTTTAAAGTGCGCAGAGCTTCAGGAGTAAACTCATTTTCCTTGTACATCTGTATCGCTTGTGGAGTGAGTCGATACGCTTTAAGAGTCAGGAAACCTCTGGCAGATTTCGCTGTGTCATAAATAAGAACAACTGATTCCTCGATAGAAGTTTGATAATGGTACTGCGACTCCAACAGAGATAGATTCAAAAAATTGCCGACATCTGCACTTTGATACCAACCGACATGGAAGTGGTCAACGTTCACCCTATATATCATTAAAATAATATCTTAGTAATAATTTTTAAGATACAGCTAGGTTATTTCTGAACATCCATATTGACACGTACCATCTCAATCTCCGCATCATAGCGAGCTGATACTCTTCCTCATCCATGATCTCATCATTCTTGGGAAACGGGAAACAGTTGGTGATTTCCAAACGATTCTGCACAACCAAGCCGAGAAGAGCGCCCTGGGCAACCTCCATGTTGCCAGAGGATTCCTCGTGACAGTGTTTCACCATCTTCATCACCACCAGTCCGTCGCATTGCACATAGTCAATACGCGGTTCCACCTCGGGAATCCTTCTCGACGTCGTTCTCGAAACCATTTTTGATAAATTTCTCGTAGTTACAACAAAATTACATTCAACCACTCGGACAATCGACGTCGAAAGGTTAGCTGAAAAAGACAGCACGCCGATTGTGACGTCACTACACGCCCTTCTTCCACTTTCTCCTTCCTCTTCTTATGTAGCGTTTTCATTTGCTATCATTAACCAATCATAATGCGATATTAGTTCCGCGTTCAATAAGTGTCGGCCTTTAAATTGACAACAGTAGTTGGTGAAATTGGCCAATCATAGCTATTCCTCTGAAGAATGGAATGAGAGTGATTGGCCAGTTTCATAACGACTGATGTCGTTATACCTGAAAAAGGATATGCGGTACCATAAAAGACGCGCGAAAAGGACGCTGTGTTTACATTTGCACACGTCACAATTTTAAAATCACGCCTGACTGAAACGGTCTTTCCAGGTTGCATGATAACAAGTCAAAAGTATGGGAATTGCAGCGCT